GTTTGGCGGGTCCGGGCTGGGGATTTGAACCCGCCACCTTAGGTGTACGTGGCTGGCGCCTTAGCCGGTTGAGCTATAGGCGCCGAGCCTATCAGTATATTTTCCCCCAAACTTTATACAAATGGCAGTAAATACACTTTGTTTTGCACCTTTTTTCATCATTTAACAAGAAGTCTTTCCATATCCTACACAGAGATCCCTTTTTATAGCCACATAGGATTGTAAGGGTATCATAATTCATTTAACCAGTTGGGGAAGGTATTTTGGAAATGTTGTGGGAGGTCAACATTATTTAATTCCACTCTGCTTTCTCTAAAGACCTGGGAGGGAGGAGGGAGAGAAAGGCCTGTGCTCCCAGCCCTACCTGGGCATGGTGCAGCCTGGGACCTGTGGCCCTTGGGCCAGGTCAGGAACCATCCTGCCTGTGGGCCTGATGCTCAGCATATCTGCAGGTTAAGGCTCAGCGCCTGTGGTTCAAGTGGCTAAGGCGCCAGCCACATACACCTGAGCTGGCGGGTTCGAATCCAGCCTGGGCCTGCCAGACAGCAATGATGGCTGCAACCAAAAAAAAAAAAAAAAAAAAAAAGGCAGGCGTTGTGGCGGGCACCTGTAGTCCCAGCTACTTGGGAGGCAGAGGCAGGAGACTCGATTGAGCCCAAGAGTTGGAGGTTACTGTGAGCTGTGATGCCACAGGACTCTACCCAGCGGGACAGCTTGAGGCTCTGTCTCAAAAAAAAAAAAATCTGCAGGTTAAATGTTGTCTTTGGGTTTTCTGCTTGTGCACTGCTCTTGTTTTTAAAAAAATTATATAGTCCCAAAATACCATGTACACCAGTGCCTTTTCAACTGTGGTCCTGGACCAGCAATGTTAGCATCACCTGGAAACATGTCAGAAATACAAAATTCCTGGGCCCACCCCAGACTGGCTGAATCAGAAATTTGGGGAGTGGGACCCAGCAATCTGTCTTTTAACAAGCCCTCCTGGTGATGGTGATGTACACTCAAGTTTGAGAACCACGTCTGTTGATCTTTGAAGATGTATTAAATTACACGATGATACCGTCTCGCTCATGTGCTCTGGTTTTACAGAGTGCAGACAAGTTTGGCCATTTTGTTTGGTTTTTTTTTTTTTTTGAGACAGAGCCTCAAGCTGTCCCCCTGGGTAGAGTGCCGTGGCATTACAGCTCACAGCAACCTCCAACTCCTGGGCTCAAGCGAGTCTCCTGCCTCCGCCTCCCAAGTAGCTGGGCCCACAGGCGCCCGCCACGATGCCCGGCTATTTTTTGGTTGCAGCCGTCATTGTTGTTTGGCGGGTCCGGGCTGGGGATTCGAACCTGCCACCTTAGGTGTACGTGGCTGGCGCCTTAGGCGGTTTAGGTTTAGGTGCCGAGCCAAGTGTGGCCATTTTGCATTCCACATGCACATGGGTCCTTCTCCTCTCCCACACTAGGGAAATCTCTATCCCGATCTACATCAACACCTTCTACTTCCCTCTCCACCCTCCGCCATCTATGGGGATGTCTGCATTGTCTCACCCACTCTCACCACTGCTCTGGCTCTGCTCGTGTGTCTCCCCACCCATCCCACAGACTCTCCACCCAACTTGGAGGGATGGGGACACAAATAGAAATCATGCCAAGGACCCCTCTGAACTGTGGGGCTTTCTGACCATTTGTGGGGCAGATGAAGGAAGGCTGGATCTGGTGGGGCCTTTGGAGCCTTGACTTGGACTTGCTCTGGTGATTTGTTATGTTCCCCTCACCAGGGCATACCATGGACGAAGGTGGACTATTTTGATAACGGTATCATCTGTAACCTCATTGAGCATGTGAGTTAGCTTTCTTTTATCTCTGGGACCTCCCCCTCCAGGTTGCCTGAACATCCTTCCCCTGTCTTTCTCCTGACTCCCCACTTGGTGAATATGCCAAAGCAGGCAGAGGGGGCAGCAATTAGAACATGGCCATCATAGAGGACCAGATTTAGGTTGGCCTCCTCTTGTCTCCTGCCCCAGAATCAGCGAGGCATCCTGGCCATGTTGGATGAGGAGTGCCTGCGGCCTGGGGTGGTCAGTGATTCTACTTTCCTAGCAAAGCTGAATCAGCAGTTCTCTAAGCATGGTCATTATGAGAGCAAAGTCACCCAGAATGCCCAGCACCAGTATGACCGCACCATGGGTCTCAGCTGCTTCCGCATCTGCCACTATGCAGGCAAGGTAATATGGTGGGGCTAGGGGTAAAGACTAAGGCCCCAGGCACAGGCTGAAGGCAATAGGGGAGGACCTGGAGGGTGGTAAAAGCCAGGAATACTTTGCCATGAGACTGGCAGGGTCAAGTGCTGTGACAAGGTCGTGGGGTCTCCAAACCAGTCGCTGCTACTTTGTAGGTGACATACAACGTGACCAACTTTATTGACAAGAATAATGACCTACTCTTTCGAGACCTGTCCCAGACCATGTGGAAGGCCCAACACCCTCTGCTCCGGTCCTTGTTTCCTGAGGGCGACCCCAAGCAGGCATCTCTGAAGCGCCCCCCAACTGCAGGAGCCCAGTTCAAGAGTTCTGTGGCCATCCTCATGAAGAATCTGTATTCCAAGAACCCCAACTACATTAGGTGACATGCTGGCTCCCCAGGAAATACACTACCTCTGTAATGGCATTGCAGGGTCCATTTACTGTAGACACATCATCCATGTGGGGGTGTCCCCAGAATGAGGGCATCAGAGGCCCTTTATGTCAGACGGTGTCAGGTGAGGGACTGAGTACCCTGTGTGTGGGGCCCTCAGATTTGGCAGACTGTGCAGAGGCAAGTGGAACTAGGAAGGCCAGCGTGTCCATGTTTTTGAGGGTTTCCCACTAAGGGGAATGCGTGCAGAAGGGGGACAAGTTATGTGGGTGCAGAGTCAGCTCCTGAAGCCGGTGCCTTGCCCTACTTCTGCCCAGGTGCATAAAGCCCAACGAGCATCAGCAGCGGGGTCAGTTCTCCTCAGACCTGGTAGCAACACAAGCTCGGTACCTGGGGCTGCTGGAGAATGTACGGGTGCGACGGGCAGGCTATGCCCACCGCCAGGTGTACAGGTCATTTCTGGAAAGGTACCGGCTGCTGAGCTGCAGCACCTGGCCTCGCTGGAACGGCGGAGACCGGTGAGACTGGGGCTGGGGGATGTCAGGGCAGGAAACACGTCTGGGGGAGAAATGAGGGTGCTGCTACACCTAGTGGCACTCAGGATGCTTAGGGAATGAACTGAATGATCGCTTCTCAGAGGCTAGAATGGGTTCCGGGAAAGGTGGATGGGGACTATCTCCTGAGACGCCCGTCCACAGCCTTGTCTCATCTGCTCCTACAGAGAGGGGGTCGAGAAGGTCCTGGGTGAGCTGAGCCTGTCCTCAGAGGAGCTGGCTTTTGGGAAGACAAAGATCTTCATTAGAAGCCCCAAGACTGTGAGTTAGAGCGTGCTCTTGGATTTGGTGGGGATGGAGGGCGAAAAAGCTGCGCACATCTGAGACAGAGGCTGGAGGGGAGGGGAGTGTCTGTAACCTGGAATGGATGGTGGATGGGGCGTTTCCTCTCTGCAGGAACTTAACCCGTGGGAACTGAATCCTTGTCCCCTTCCTTCCCACCCCACCATGAGCCTTGGGAGCTCAGTGTGCTGCCTGGGGCTCCATGCGCCACTGCCTGAGGCAGAGCTCTGTGGGCTAGGGGATGAGCTGCTGTGTCTGACTTCTGACACCCAGCACATGCCTGCTGCAGAGTTTGAGTTCAGTGTTAAGGGACTGAATAAATGAATGAACTAAAGAAGACAAAAGAATTGATCAAATAAGACACCTGGCTGGGAAGCCTCAGCACTGTGGGGTACAGGAGGGGAGAGCCCTGCTCTGCCAGTCAGTCTCTCTGTGCCCCTTCCTTCCCCCTCTCCAGCTCTTCCACCTGGAAGAGCAGAGGCGCCTGCGGCTGCAGCAGCTGGCCACACTCATACAGAAGACTTACCGGGGCTGGCGCTGCCGCACCCACTATCAGCTGATGCGAAAGAGTCAGATCCTCATCTCCTCTTGGTTCCGGGGCAACATGGTACAGTCACCCCCAAAGTCCCATCTACTTCACTCTAGTAGGGGGGCAAGAGGAGTCCAGGAGGCAGGGATTTTCTCACAACTCCAATGTTTCCTACAGCAAAAGAAACGGTATGACAAGATGAAGGCATCTGCGTTATTGATCCAGGCTTTTGTGAGAGGGTGGAAGGTAATGGGGAGTGGGACAGGGGTCCCCTCACATGGCTCCTCCTGGGCTGTGCCCCCTGCTGTGGGAGACAGAGCAGCAGAGGGCGAATCCTGCTGCATCCAGGCCACACCTTTGTGCATGGATGTGTCCAGTGGATGCCCCTGGGCCGTCCCGTGTCTGTTGTACATGAGATGTGTCTCTGGCTTGGCAGCAGAGCTCCACCTTCTGCCCTGAGTGTCCTCTTCACTGCCAGCTTGTCTGACTTTACTTCCACCCTCCTCCAACTATAGTCTCGGCTCTTTATCTTGCTGTGTTCTTTGTGTGGCTGAAAAATAGTAGAGCCGCTTTTAGAACCTGTCTTCACTTTGGCTCATTTCTTATATGTCCCTGCCAGGCCCGCAAGAATTATCGAAAGTATTTCCGGTCAGGGGCCGCTCTCACCTTGGCAAATTTTATCTACAAGAGCATAGTAAGTGTTGGGGTTAGGGTGGAAGTAGGGGTGGGGAAGGGAGGGACAGGTTTGGGAGAGGAAGATGTGGGATTTGAGAAGAGGTGACTCAAAACTTTCCCCCAAGAGTGTCCTCAATCTGCATGTAACTTGATTCCTAGAAGAGGGGACGGGACAGCAACTTGCAGAGAGCAGGCCCCAGTGCCTTGGGCCCAGGGCAGATTCAGACACATTTTAGTCTGTGTGGAGACACTGCAGTCTTTCTGTGGAAAGAAAAGGTTCCAGCCTATACCCACCCTCTAGTCCAGTGGTTCTTGACCTTCCTAATGCTGCAACTGTTTAATACAGTTCCTGTGGGTCACAACCCACAGGTTGAGAACCGCTGCTCTAATCCATGGCTGAATAGGCTCGTGAAGAGATGGGGGCCGCATATTGAGCATTGGTGGCAGAGGGCAAGCTCCATGGAAGAACTAGCCCAGCCTTCCAGAGTCCATTTTAGGGTTGATGTGAAGGTGGGGGGATCGTGTCTCCCCTCTAGTTTCCCTCTGAAACTATAGCAGGCAAGTCAGGAAGTAAATTCCTAACTTAATTCTGGAGGACTTGGATCAGAATGGGCAGAAAGAAGCCAGGACCAGGCCTACACACTCAAACTATGGGTAGTTTTCAGTGGGAGAAAAACAGGGAGAGAGGAGAAAAATTTCTGGAGGCATGTTGGATAGCAGAGGTGCGTCAGAGGGAAAGGAGGAAGGGAGCAGCACTTCCAGTGAGACCTCAAGAAGGCCAGAGAGAAGGAGGAAGAGGAGGAAGAGGGGCACGATATCTTGAGCAGAGGCTGGAGTGAATTGCAACTGACCTCCACTGACTGGATTGTTGACAGTTGGGACTCTTGCCATCAAACAAGACAGAGTGAGACTCTGCCTTAAAATATATATATGTATATTTTATTGAAAAAAACATTTTTTTTTTGGGCAGTTTTTGGCCGGGCCTGGGTTTGAACCCGCCACCTCCCGTATATGGGGCTGGCACCCTACTCCTTTGAGCCATAGGCACCGCCCATTTTATTGAAATTTTTTTTCAAGAAGCAAATATAGTGCAAACTTGAGATTGGGCCAAGTGCGGTGGTGGGTACATAGGTCTCTATTTCATTATTTTCTGTAGTTCCTTGTAAACTTGAAACATTTCATAATTAAAATAAGATCATCCTTGGATGGGGCATTGTGTAGGCTGAATAAAGACCTCCACGCTCATTCAGTCACGGGACACATTTTGGAGCCCCTCTCTGTTGTGAAAGAGGCTGGATCCTTCAGCTGAGGAGAGGAATGGGAGTTCTGAAGCTCTGGGCTTCTTCACTGCCTCCCTGAGCCTTCGTTTCCTCCACTTCCTCCCCTCCCGGAGGAAGTTCCACGTGGGGCCTCCTCTGTTGCCTGGTGTCCTGCGTACCGGCTCCAGTGTGTCTGCCTGCCCAGTACGTGCTCTCTTGCAACATACCTGAGTCCTTAATCTGATTTTGCTCTTATCTCCTGAGTGGCCTTCTTCCACCTTTTCTTTCACCTGTATATTATCAGACAGCTGCTAAATGTCAACCCAGAATCTTCTGGGTTTAGACCAATATTTCAATAGATCACTCCACCCCACCCCGAGCATGCAGGGGCCACCTGGGCATGCCATTCCTCCTGTACTTAGCCGCTGTCTTGGCAGGAACTAATAGTGAGTGCCCATTATCTTTAGAATGCTTGCTACGTGCCACGCTCTTTACATACAAAAACTCTAGTCCTTTCAACAGCCCTGTGAGGTAGGCCCTTTTCCTTCCTCCATTTTATAGATAAAAAACTAAGTCTCTAAGAGGTTAAATAACTTGCCATGGGTCCCACAGCTGGTGGGTGGTACAGCAAGGAAATACCCAATATCAGGTCATTTTTAAAATATCTTCAATAATTCTGTACCATAAACTGGGTACTAGGGGCTCTCAGGGATGTAAAAATTTAGGGGTCCTTTTTCTGGATTGGGAGAGAGGAAACAGCCAGATGGCCATGGGTAACACTTGATTGGCTCCTGGAACAGAAAAAGCAAAAACAAAGTTAAAAGCCAGAAGTTTGTAAAGGACATGTGGAGATGTGGGTTGCTTTGGATGAAGTCTTCAGATTCACAATGATGGTCTTAGGTATGATGATGGAGTCAGGGTTAAGAGCATGTCCAGTTCTTGGGAAATGGCATGCTGAAGTTTTAGGGGGAAATGTCATGATACCTCTGACCTACTTTAGGATGGTGTGGTATAAGGATTTGCATATATGTGTGTGTCAGAGCAAGAGAGAGCACACACGTGAAGAAGAATGCAGACATTATCAGTTGGTGAATTTAGGAGAGGGGTTTAAAGCACATGGATGTTCATTGTACTGCTTTTTCAACTTTCTGCAAGTTTAAAAAACTATCAAAATAAAAAAAGCTATATTAAGTTTAAAACACTTAAGTCAGACTATGTTATTTTTTTGCTTAAAGTCCTCTAATGGTGTTCCACTCAGGATAAAAGCCTACATCCTGCTGGGCATGGTGGCTCATACCTGTAATCTCAGCACTCTGGGAGCTGAGGCAGGTGAATCATCTGAGCTCAAGAGTTTGAGACCTGGGCAGTGCCTGTGACCTAAAGGAGTAGGGCGCCAGCCCCATATACTGGAGATGGTGGGTTCAAACCCGGCCCCAGTCCAAAAAAAAAAAAAGGCGTTTGAGACCAACCTGAGCAAAAGTGACACCTTGTTTCTTCTAAAAATAGAAAAACTAGCTGGGGGGCATCGTAGTGGGCACCTATAGTCCAGCTTCTCAGGAGGCTGAGGCAGGAGGATCATTGAGCCCAAGAGTTTAAAGTTGCTATGAGCTATGGTGACACCACTGTACTCTACCCGGGGCAACTGTGAGTGAAACTGTCTCCAAAAAAAAAGCCCACATCCTTACAGCAACCTTGGAGGCCATTTGTGACTGGCCCTGACTGGCTCTTGATCTTCTCTTGTCTTGCTCAATTTATTCCTGCCATACTGGCAGACCTCATTCTATGACATTACAGCATATATTTATTATTTATTAGTGGCTGTCCCCTCCCCAGTGAGAATCAAGACTACCTTCTGTGTTCACTGCTGTGTCCCCATACCTAGAACAGTGCCAGGCATGGAGTGGAAACTCAAATGTTGAGGGGGGAAAGCACTTGAGATCTGGGATCCTAAATCACAAGGACTCATTGTCTAGAAGAGGGAGAAGTTTTCCATGCAAATAACTGTAGTTCAATAATTGTAGTTCAAGGGTACCCACGAAGTGCTATGGGGCTTCAGAGAAAGGAGGGAGAGGTGACTGGTGAGTAGGAATCAGGGAGGGCTTTGAGCTCAGTCTCCCAGATGAGACGTCTGGGTTGGCCTAGAGGACCTAAGAGAGCATGAGCTAAGGCACAGAGGATAGTGCCTGGCACTGAGGGCAGGTGAAGCACCTCATTTAAGGGGCTGTGTCATGTGGCTGGGCTCCAGATGGAGGTTTTGAATGGCAGGTCTGGCCGTCAGAGGAGAAGGAGGAGTGGGTGGGTGTGAGCCGAGAGAATGGCAAGCTCCAGGAGCATAGTGCTGAGCCCGGCCTTCCCTACGGGATCCCCACCTCACTGGCCTGGGAGGCGTGCTTCTGCTTGGAGCTGGTTTCTCTCCTCCCAGCCTCCCACGCATCCTCTTAGCTCTCAGCCTCAGTCTGCGCTTCACGAAAGAGATCCAGGAGTGACTCCTTTGTCTCTTCAGCTTCCCGCCTTGCTGCTCACTGCCCATGACCTTCCTCCTTGTTTTTGAAAAAAAAAAAAAAATTTTTTTTTTGAGACAGAGTCTCACTCTGTCACCCTGGGTTGAGTGCTATGGCGTCATCATAGCTCACAGCAACTTCAGACTCTTGGGCTCAAGCAATCCTTCTGCTTCAGCTTCCTGAGTAGCTGGGACTACAGGTGCTTCACACAACATCCGGCTAGTTTTTTCTATTTTTAGGAGAGATGGGCTCTCATTCTTGCTCAGGCTGGTCTTGAACTCCTGAGCTCAAGCAGTCCACCTGCCTTGGCCTCCCAAGCTGTAGGATTACAGGCCTGTGCTACCGTGTGGCCTCCTTCTCCTTTAAGTGGTCACATCTGGGTGGCAAACTGCCAAGAAGTATTTCTTCTCATTCCACTCCCAACCCCCCTGTTCCCAACTCAGGTACAGAAATTCCTGCTGAACCTGAGGGACAATCTGCCATCTACCAATGTCTTGGACAACAAGTGGCCTGTGGCCCCTTACAAGTTCCTCAGCACAGCCAGCCAGGAGCTGCGGCGGCTCTTCCACCAGTGGAAGGTGAAGGGGTCCAAGACATCTCCTTCATTCTTTTTTTTTTTCCTTCCTCCCTGTTCCACCCCCCCCATTTTAAAAATTGTGATAAAATATATATGCGATTTACCACTTTAACCATGTTTGAGAGCACAGTCCAGCGGCATTTAGTACACTCACATCACTGTGCGGCCATCACCACCTCCCATGGCCATGCCCTTTTTTTATTACCCTAATGTGAAATCTGTAGCCAACCAGTGACTTACCATTGTCCCTTCCCCCAACCCCTGACAGCCTTTTCTGTTTCTATGAATTTGACTATTCTAGGTCTTACATATAAGTGGAAATCATATAACATTTGTCTTTTCCTGTCTGTCTTATTTCATTTAGCTTAACGTCATTTGTTCTTTCTTCAGGAAATGCTTCCTGAGCACCTGTCTGTTCAGTAGGCCCTGTGCTGGGTGTGAAGCAGGCAGTCCTCTCAGTGCTGCTATTTGTTTGTCTCCCTTCCCTTCCCCCAGCAGCCCTCAGTTCCCACCCTCCTCCTCCAGCCCCTGCCCTCTCCCTGAAGTGTTTCAGGCCTGTCCTTTTGCCCCTGTGTCTCTCTTCTCCCCTGTGTTCTAGTCTCTGCTCTCTCCTCCCTGGCCAGCCCTGCCCTCCCCGTCCAGGATCTTAGCTCATCTCCCTCCCTCCTCACAGTGCAAGAAGTTCAGGGATCAGTTATCCCCAAAGCGAATAGAGATACTGAGGGAAAAGCTCTGTGCCAGTGAACTGTTAAAGGGCAAGAAGGCTTCATACCCCCAGAGGTAAGGGCCCAGACTCTGTGCAGCCAGTTCCACGAAGTGATAGTTCTCAAACTTGAGCCTGCATCAGAATTACCTGGAGGATTGTTAACACGCAGACGCTCCTCCTCAGGGACTCTAATTTGAGTGGACCTGGGGTGGGGCCCACAATCTACCTTTCTAAAAGTCCCCAGGTGATGCTGATGTTTTGGTCCTGGATCATGATTCTCTGGGAACTACTGAGAGGAGATACAAGGAGGGTGGGGAAGGGCACCGGGGCCGGGGGATGGCTAAGATGGAAACCCTGGGGGCAGGGGGAGGTCTTGAGGGTCCTTGTCTCCATCACGCACCTCCTGTGTATCCTCAGTGTCCCCATTCCATTCCACGGTGACTACATTGGGCTACAAGGGAACCCCAAGCTACAGAAGCTGAAAGGCATGGAGGAAAGGCCTGTTCTGATGGCAGAGACAGTGAGGAAGGTTAATCGTGGCAATGGCAAGGTGAGGCCTACATGCTAAACTCTGTCCACAGCTGGTCTGCTATGTGAGTTGGCAGCTGCAAAGCAGACTGAGGGGGTGTGTGCTCTGCTGGGTGGGGTGTGGGGGTTAGCGCTGCGTTTCCTCACCCTTTCCTGTTCTGTCCCTAGACTTCTTCTCGGATTCTCCTCCTGACCAAGGGGCACGTGATTCTCACAGACACCAGGAAGTCCCAGACCAAATTTGTCATTGGATTGGACAGTGTGACCGGGGTGTCAGTCACTAGCCTTAAAGATGGGCTCTTTATCTTACATCTGAATGAGGTATCAGAGCTGGGTGGGGACACTAAGGGTCTGGGGCAGGCTGGAGGTGATGGGGATCAGACCTCCTGCTCTGGGCCTTTGATGCCCCTCAGGCTGCTCCTGAGCAGAAAAGAATGAATCTCTTCCCTGCTATTTTTCCCTCTTCCTAAGGCAACGATGTCAGTGGGCTCCAAGGGGGACCTCCTGCTGGTCAGTGACCACGTGGTGGAACTGCTGACCAAAGTGTACCAGGCTGTGCTGAATGCCACACAGAGGCAGCTTCCAGTCACTGTGACTGACAAGTAAGGCCATGAGCTAGGGGCTTGGGGCAGATGACCAGGCCGATGGTCATTGTGACCGAGGAAATTCGTGCAGGCAGAAAGTGCAGGATTTCATGTCAGGGCGGAGCTTGGAGGTGTTTCTCAGCCTCCGCACCCAAGTTCTCCGGCAGCACATGGAGGGAGTTGTCTGGCAAGGGGTGGAGGAGATATGGGGGTGGGGGTGCTTACTTCCAGGAGGGGGGGCCATTATGGAATTGGGGGGAAGCAGGAGTGAGGGAGGGAGCTAGCTTTGGCTTTTCTGTGTGCTCCCTTCCAGGTTCTCAGTGAGGTTCAAGGAGAGCAGTGTGGCTGTCAAGGTCATCCAGGGCCCTGGGGGTGATGAGAAAAGCAAGCTAAGCTGCAAGAAGAAGGGGAGTCATTGCCTGGAGGTGACCGTGCAGTGACAAGGAGGGGACCTAAGGGCTGAGACAGTGGCTTCTCCCTCATTGATCAGCACTGACCCCCTCTGCCCTCCTAGGTGGGAGGATCTCATGTCTAACCCCTCTGATGCAGGGGGAGGGGACTGGAGATTGAAGAATCCTCTTTTCCCAAACCTTTCTAGTATTCTCCTTGAAAAGTAGCTTCCTGCCACCCTTAGCCTCTTTGCCCACTAATAAAACATGACTTTCAAAGGGTTTGATCAGTGTGGGTGGATCCCTACTTCCCCATCTTCTCACCCAGTTGTACTTGGACCCCCTTTCTCATGCCCTTTTCCCTCCCTCGGGCCCCTTGGAGCCAGCGAGTACAAATAATGAGAATGGAAAGAAAGGGAAATTGTCTCTGGGCTCCTTGACCGGCTGAGCTCTGGAGGGGTTTGGAGAGACTGGGGTAGGGGTGGAGGCATCGGAGATGGGGCTCAGGTCGCAGGTGGCCAGTAGGCTGATTCATTAAGTGTGTCCCTGAAGGAAAGAAGTGAGGATCCCTGCCCTGGCGGAAACTGGGATCCTTTGGAGAGTTAGTCTGAAAAGAAGCTCAAGGCTGGAGGGCTCATGCAAGCTGAGGTGAGCTGGGGAACGTAGGGTCCCCTGTACCCAGAGCTCTGTCGCCCCCTCCACCCCCAAGCTCAGCACAGAGCTGCATCCCAGCGGCCTCCCTTGCAACTCGAGATGCCAAGCTGCTGCCAGCAGTTACCTTGCTCATCAGTGATCAGTGTCCCATGCCTGGGCCCTGCAGCTAGTGGCAAGGGGAGCCCCCGACACTGAGATTCTCCCATCGTTATGCCCAGACCCCTTTCCTCTTGTTTTTATTCATTTCCCTGTGCCATCATCGTTACCTTTTTCTCAGTCTTCAGCTGTCTCACACCATCTCATTGTCTCCATTTCTGTGGGCTCTAATATTAATAGATAGTATTTTATATAATATTTTAAATATTTTCCCACACCTTTTCTTATCCACACACCTCATAGACTCTGCCTTTGGGGAACAAGCTGCTCATGTATTCACATTGAAATTTGGATCTGTGGTCTATGAGAGCTCACCAAGGCTTGCCTTTGTTCCTGTCTCTGGCTGTCTCTTCCTCCAGGCATGATCTCCACCTTCTCTCCCCTTCCCTGTCTCCTCCCCCATGAGGAGACCCACTGTGCCCTGAGGCTGGGGTCTCCCTCTGCCAGCAGCTCAGGGTCCCAGCTGATCATATTGGCAGGAGAGACCTGATTAACCCTCTTCCTTCCTGCAGGTTAATCTTGCTTTCTGAGCATAAGCCCCAAGCTTGGGGTACACCCTGCTCTGAGCTGAGACAGGATGCAGGGGGTCAGCTGTTCCCTGCTGGGTGAGGGCTACAGCCTGCCTTGTGGCGTGGGGGCTGTGTCCAGTGTAGGGGTAGCTCAGCCTCTGGCCAGCCTCCCCCACTCCCAACAGCTCCCCGCATCCTTGACTTCTCAGAATCAGGCGGGGAAGAGCCTGTCTGGCCAAGAGGGGGGTTGGTGATCAAAGCCTGATCGCCCCCGCTCTCCACCTCATCTCCTGCTCCCAGGGCCCAAATTGTCGTCACTTTCCAAGTGAAGTGTCTGGCCATTTTCAGAAGCAATTTCAGAACATGCAGCTGCTGCTCTCTATCTTGCTTTTCCTTCCAGCCCAGGGAGCCAGGGATGGTGGAAGGGGAAGGGCTAGGGTCCTGGTCTCCCTCCTCTCCTCCCTGTATCCGTTCTGGGGGTGGGTGCTAGTTTAAGGCAGGGCTGGGGCTCCTCTCCTTTGCTCTTCTACTCCTCCCTTCCTCCTGCTCTTTCTTGTCTCTGCCTTTCTCTTCTCTGGAGCCCAGGAGTTCGTGTTTTCATCCCCTGAAGCCCATAATGGCATGGTTTTCCCCCAAACATCTCAGAGCTAGCACTTTCCAGGCCTCCTCCCCTCCCATCCCACTACTCTCCTCCCAGCCCAGCACTTTCAAAGTCTGAGTTGTTTCAGCCTCTGAGGGGCACAAGCCATCCAGGGTTTCCCCTTCCCCATGAGGAGCCATTCTGTATCTCACAGCTTAGCCAGGTCTAGTCAGTCCTCCTGGCCCAGGCCATTTCTTTCCAGGCTCTGAAGGGCTCTTGTTCCTTGTGGTGTGGTTTTCTCCAACTGTCTCTAAGCCGCAGGATGTGGCAGGACTTAGAAGCTGTCATCCTTCTGTTCTATGCTGGTTTCTCCACCTAGTGCTACACATGGCTCTGGGCCCACCATCCTTACTCCCAGCAGCCCTGTAGGGTCCACAGGTCATGCAGGTGGTTGGCATAATTCACATAATCAGGCCAACTGGTGTCTATGACCAGTGCTGGGCCTGCTTCCACTGCCAATCTCAGGGAACTGCCTACTTACCTGTCCCAAGTCAGCACAACCTTAACATGCCTTGGCCTCACCCTCAAACTGCCCTAACAACAAATGGGGAAGCTGCAGGGGGTAGAGCTGGTAGGGGCCCTGGCCTCCAAGTACCCTGCTCCTCTAGTCCAGGGACACATCTGAGATATGGCTGATGTAAAGAGTAGGTGTGTTCTGAGAAAAAATGCCTAGGTGCTCTATAGCTGCAATACCCACTTTTCATGTAATTTCCTGTGATTTGTAGGCAAAATGCAGCCCTCCTCGGCCCTCCAATCCTTCCCACCCTCCCTCATCACCTCTCTAAAATGGCATCAGCTCTTTCAAGTCTTTGCTAATCCCTGAGATCAAGGGGTGATCAGCTCTCCCTGACATCCCTCTGCCCCCGCATCCTTGGCTCCTGCCATCCTCTGTGAGATGCTGCTTCATCAAAGGACATTATTTATGGTGGACCTTTGCTGAAACCCTGCTTCCCTGGTGCCAGGGCTTGGGGACAGGATTAGATGGGTTTGTCGGGGAAAGGGATTGATGGAGAGATCGTAGCTCTTGGTCTGACACTTCCTTCTGAATGCCCAATTCCCTCCAGCCTGCCTAATTTAGGCCTCTACCTCCAGATTGGTGGGGGAGAGGAGGAGGAGGGAGACTGTCGGTCCAATTAGGAACAGCACCTGAGCTTCTCACAGGAATGAACCAATCATGACATTTGCATGCAAACAGCTCCCCACTTCTAGTCTTCATCCAGCAAATGCTTCCAACCTTGTGTCCTGGCGCATGTTCTTTGCCCATATAGCCCTGTAATTAGCTGGGTAATGAGAAGGTTTTAATGAGGTCCCGTTAGTATCTCACATAATAATGAAACCTTGAGACCCAGCTGCTGCGCTCATTCTGGGGCAAAGACGGGGCCCTGTGTAGCCAAGGTGACATCTCTCAGTGTGGCCCTGTCCCAGGGTGTGTAGGCTGGGGAGACAAACACCTGAGCACCCCAGCAGCACTTGAGAGGTTCCACTCCGTGATTTGGACTGAGGTTAAAAAAGCTTGGCTCTAGTTTTTACTTTTGTTTCATAAATAAATTTTAATTGAGAAGCTACTATATGCCAAACAATATAAAGCAGGGGCTACAATAGCAAACAACCAAAAATTCATGCCAGCATGATACTCACATTCTAGCGGGGAAGGGGTGGGTAGAGAGGCAGTCAGCAAGCGAAAACCAAGCACGCTGGATGTGAGCGGCGTGAAGATAAGTGCAGGAGTGGCATATGCAGGATGTGTGGTAATTTTGATTAGAACAGGGTGATGGGGAAAACCTCACCAAGCAGGAGTCTTTGGAGTAAATATGAGATAGACCTGTGGTGCTCTCCCAAGCCTAGGATGTAGAAGGTCCCAAATCTCCTGGGGAGGTGGGCCACCTACTCCCTCTGGGACAGTCAACCGTTCCCTCACAGGTTGAAATTTATGTTAGTGCAGTAACGAGAATGGGAGATTCAAAGCAAGAGAAACCTGCATTTGCAGCTGTTCTCCACTGATTAGTAGCTGTATGTCCTGCAGCAAGTGACCGAACCTTCTGGACCCATTTCCTCACCTGAAAAATAGGAATATTTGCTGATTACTTGGTGGTGGTGATGAAACTCAAACAGATTGTTCCACGTGAAGCACCTTGCAAGCATCCAAGCCCTGCACCCTTAACAAACTTGAGTTTGCATCTCCCCAGTCTGATTCAGCAGTGGCGTCTCTCTCTGGTATTGTTCTCCCTGGGTCTCTCTCCCAGGGGTGGGAAATGAGCAGATAATCCCCTCATCTGTGTAGGGTGTAAATGAGAACCTTGAAAGGTAGAGGAGAAAATGCCTGAGCTTGGGGAGACAGATTAGAATGGGAGAAACATACCGGTGAGGGAAAGGGAGGCAACTAAGAGATCAGTGCTGGGGCGGGGGAGGGGAGGGGAGCAGCTCTGCCATCGTTCTGTTCCTCCTCTGACAGTACAGCAGGAGGGACAGGAAATAAAACTCTAAAGGGAAGCAACCAAGGGGTGGGGTGGGACAGACAGTAGCCCTGCTGAGGGTGACAGGAGGCTGAAGCTGGAGGCTTCTGTGGAGGGCAGCAGGGGAGAAGTGTGGCCCTCAGCAGTGCCAGGGCCCTTGTAAGGGTGCAACTCCCACTGTGAGGAGGATAGGGGGAGACAGGAGGACAAGAGATGCCAGACTCGCCTCCCAATCCTCAGGAGCCTGAGCCTTGTTGTCCTGGCCAGCCGGGGCAGAGAGGCACTGGCCCGACACTTTTCTACCTGGCAGTCAAGCCCAAAGGTGTACAGTGCAAGGAGCTGGTGAGTGAATGAGGAAGGGAAAGAGGCCCAGGGTCCACACCTATTGAGCTAGACCAGGCATGGGGATTTCTAAGGAATCCACATAGGATTCCTTAGGAGCCCTGCTCATGGCATGATGCGTTGCTGGACAGTCGGACAGCTGCAGCTCACTGCTGGTGTGTGTGTGTGTGTGTGTGTGTCTGGGTGGGTGGCTGCAGTCTGCATCCTCCTTCCTCCCCACTCCCTACCAGCTCCCCCCTCCCCTCCAGCCACCCTGGGATTGGTGACTCTCAGTCCCTCCCCTCAGCTCCCCCAGACCTTCCCAGAGCCTTTATCAGGGAGCTGGGACGGAGTTCCTGCCACCTTCCCAGCCCCTCCACCCCGGGTCCCTCCTCCAGGCAGCAGCACCAGAGTGAGTCCAGCCTCAGGCACAGAGCTACTCTACAGGTAGGTGAGTGGGAGAATGTCCAATGGACTGGAGCTGCATCAAAGGGACAGGAGGCAGCACAGGGGGGATAAAGGAGATCCAGCCTTTGATAGGGGAGCAGCAGAGGGGAAGATGAACAGAAAGCGACTGGAGGCTGGAGAGAGGGTTAATGTTTACAGCCTTCATTGAAGACTGAAAGTTTTTGTTTAAGTCTTGGGGTTATCCAGTACTGGAAAATACTCCAGCCAGGACCTCTCCACCAGTGCCTGTGCTATAAATCTGCCATCTACCTCCGGAGTGAGAACCCCCAGGCAGCACCACACCATGAATCATTGCCAGGGTCACATCTGGGGAGATGTCTGACAGGGGAGCAGGGAAACAGGCAGCACCCCTGCTCAGAGAGCCATGCCATTCCCTCTCTAGTCCAGGGCTTGGACAGGAGATCTGGGAGCTGGGGAAGCAGGGTCAAGCAGGCTGCCTGCCGTGAATGTCTTCTGCATTTTCTACCTGTGCTCTATCCACTCCACCCCCTAGCCACCATGAGGACCACCCTGCTGTTCATAGTCATCCTGGCCCTCAGCCTGGCTTGGAGCTTTGGGGCTACCTGTGAGGAGTCACAGGAGCAGGTGGTGCCCAGTGGGGGCCACAGCAAGGTAGGTCATCCCCTGGCAGAGTACTGGGAACACCACGGGGATCTGGGGCTCTGCTTTTCTGGGCAGCTGCAGTGAGGAAGGTGAAGGGCAGGGCCAGGGGCCGTATGGGTTACGCATCACAGGGCGTTCTGTCTCCCTTCAGATTTCCCCACCTTTTGGGTCCTCTCTTGTGTCTGGTGCATTTGTGGCACTCCCTGACACCGGCTCAGGGTGTGTCTGTAAGTGTCTTTGTATTTTTGTATCTTTGACACCTTGTTTATAAAAAGATGCCCACAAATACGTTGTCTGGTCGGCTGACTGGGGACTTGATGATTGGACGGTATTGTGAGGGCTGAGCTAGGGTGCGCTAAGGTTCTGTGTGGTCCAGCTCAGGTTCTGTTCCCATCTGTTCTGTGTCCTTGGCATGAAACACAGTCTAATTTTCTTTCCCAAATAATTATTTGTATGCTATATGAGCTATTGGTTATGTGTATTATTTTATTTTCAAAATGCAAATACATTTTCTTATCTTCCGCTCATCCACCCCTGGTAACCTCAGGCGCTTCTAAGATCCCAGCTCCTTCCTCTGTCCTCTCCCTTAACTCACTTCTATGCTCTGCTTAGTCAGGATAGGAAAAACAACAACAACAACAAAAAAAAAACCCAGAAATCAAGTTGAGCTCCAAATTCCAAAGGTCCTCTAAGAAAAAGAATAGGGATTGTCAGGGTGGGGGTACAGGGGGAGAGCAAGGAAGAAGTCTTTTCAAGGCTTTCAAATGATAGCAATTACATTGGTACAAATGCTTTTAAGATGATTACAGGTAGGACTTTTATTATGAATTCAGTGTGTGAAGTCTAAATGTCTCTGCAGCTCAAATCTGTGTAGCATCTCATTATAGGAGGTGGGCAGAGTATTCGAACAATTTGGGGAAAATGGCTGCCTGGAAACCATTCACTGGGCTGAGAGAGATCACAAGGGCAGCCTTGCACGTGGCAGCAGTTATACCAGATCTAAAAGACCAGAACCCATTCAAAAACACCTATGGTGTGCCAAATATGGTCTAGGCACTGTGTCGGGAGCCTCAGAGTTCCAGCTTGGGATAGTCAGTGCATCTGAGCTCTTCTAAGACAAACTTGCTACAGGACCCTGGCCAACGAGATGTCCCCTCTGCCCCTCTTGGTCAATGAAAGGGAGGGATTGCAATCCTACTCCTTCCTGAGGGTCTGTAAGGATGAGAGGAAGTGGGGCAGGAAGAGGATACGATGGTAGGATATGTGTGCGCCTAGGCAGCAGGATGGTATATTTGGTGGTGGTGGGGGCGTCCCACGTAAATACACTTCTGTGTGTGCACAGCAGCCCAGTGACGCCTGGGCACTGGAGAGAGAGGCACTGCTGAGATTCAAGGTGACAATCTTCAAACATGATTGTTGTCACTGTCTCTTTGCAGCTGCAATAACTGGATGTGTGGTCTATGCCCACCACCCCACTGTGCCCAAGTTACTAAAAAGAATCACAAGGACAATCAGGAGCCCCTGCTGGGAAGCAGCTCTAGAATCTGGGCTTCAGAGGGGTGGGAGAGAAGAAGGGGCCCTTCTGAGCATGTTGCCTTCCCGATTCTAGATCCAGGGCAGAAAGGAGAGAAAGAGAGAAAGACAGACGCAGAAAGTCATGGAGAAGGAGAAAGAGTGAGAGGCAGTAGGAAAACCAGGAGAGGAACATCCAGACATAGTGCATAGTGGGGAAGTTTCAGGGTACAGATACACCCTGGCTGCCTGCTGCCACCTGTCCCAGGATCAAGCCCTGACTGTGACTCAGTCAAGGAACACAGACCAGAGGATACTGGCAGTCTGATGGACCTTTCTCACTCGGTAGAACAACTATGTCATTGGCTAAACTGGTTTCTGTTATGCCAGGGAGAAGAAAAGCTACAACCCTTCCCACTGAGAGGTGGCAGGAGCTGAGATGGGACCCCAGGAGATAGATCCCTTTGGGCTTTAGATATAGCATGGTCAACTGTCCCAGTATAAACACTAAAGGTCCCACATTCAGGAAGTCCTTAGTCCTGGGCAAACAAGGACAGTTGGCCAGCCTACAAAAGTGCCCAGTGCCTTTCCTTCACCTGGGCCTCTCAAACCTCACTGTGCATTTGAATCCCCTGGGGGGCTGATAAAAACACAGATTCCATCTCAGTGGGTCTGGGTAGGACCAAGATCCTGCATTTCTAACAAGCTTTCTAAGGCTGCTCTGCCACTGGTCCACAGACCACACTTTGAGTGCTGGCTTCCCTCCACCCCCACCCCCGGGTAAACCAGAGGAAATCCCAAAGGAAATAGGTTGTCAGATTCAGTTGTGATGGGCTCAGGATGGGGCTGCCTCTTGTGGGAAAAGGGAGAGTGGATTTGGGTATGAGCCTCCTGTGTCAGCCTCTGTTTCTCTCCCCTAGAAGGACTCGAATCTCTATCAGCTGGCCCCATCATCATTGCTCCGGAGACTCTACGACAGCCGCTCTGTCTCCCTGGAGGGCTTGCTGCAAGTGCTGAGCAAGGCTAGCCTTGGTAGGAGGTGGGGGGAGCAGGATTCTGAAGATTAGATAAGTCTGGGACCCTTTCAGTGGGGAGGGAGATGTGGGATGGCTTAGTGGATCTGTGAGGATGGTTGTGATCTGAAGTTCCTCTCATAATCACTTTCTAGTGCCTACTCCCCGTTTACACACTTGTTCTTGGTTTCACAGACCCTAAGGAATCGTCACTTCCCCAGAAACGTGAGTAGCCTCTTCTCCATCCCTGTATCTGCTCACCACTTGCCCAGAGCTCCAGGGGGTGGGTTCCAGGGAACATTTTGACTGGCCCCATCTCAACACAAACAATATGGCAGTGCAGCTGTCCAGCTGGTCTTTCCTGAAAGGGAGAGGCCACAGGGAGCTAGGAGGAAGCAGGTGTGAGGACACGGGGACTCTCCCTTCACTGACTAGTCATTGGGAAACAAGAAGCTCTCCTGGTGGCCCTAAAGATTCTAAGCCAGGCAAATGGTGTGGCAGAGAATTTCTTGAAACGTGAAGGAGGGAGAGATAGGAGGGAGAGTGGGCTTAGGGATATGCCTGCTAACTATGGGGAGTCAAGCCTGGCAAGGTGAGGGAACAGAGACCAGAAACCCAATCTCAGAAGTCTTGACGCAGGGAAGTCTGGGAAAACGCGTCCCTTTCTCATCAGCACTGTTGACGATGCTGGCTCTTTTCTACAGGTGACATGCATGACTTCTTTGTGGGACTCATGGGCAAGAGGAACATCCAGCCAGGTAGGAGTGTGGGGAGGTGCGATGGAAGGGATTGGGGTCGTGATTGAGGATAGGACAGAAGTCAAGTGCCTCATATTTGTCACCAGAGGAAAAGACAGACATTTCCTAGTTTTACTGGGGGTTTCTGGACTCGTTCTTCCCAATCAGCTTGGATCCAAGCCCTCAACTGCCCCACCCCCATGCCCCTGGAGCAGAGCAGAGAAGAGCAGGGCAACCTTTATAAGGCAGCCCTGCGGCAGCTGGCAGGGAGGAACAGGGAGTTTCTTTTCTCCCAACTCTGTCTTCTAACACTGCCCATGATAGCCAGCCCTCTGCTACTGGGTCAAAAGGAAGGTCACATTCAAAAAAGTCCCTCCTAACTATGCTGTTTACCCCAGATACTTCTACTGATGTGAATCAAGAGAATGTTCCCAGCTTTGGCACCCTCAAGTATTCCCCTGATGCAGAATGAGGTAAGGATTGTTGGCTGGAGAGGGGAGAGGGGAACTGTGTTGGGGGCTGGGGGTGGGGTTGCCAGCTGTACATTTATGTCCTCTGATGCTACAGGTGTGAATACTCATAAATCTGCCTCAAAATATACTGCCAGTGCCCCAGCACCCCATGGGGCAAACACAAAGACATTTAGAGGCACGTGTGCATGCACACTACCCCGTCCCCACCCCGTTGTCTTTTCTCCTGTACCATGGAGCCCACTGACTATTGAGCAGGAGGAGCAAGTGGTGGGAGATGGGGAGAGAGGGATTTCCCTTAGGGCTTCTCTGATAGGCAATTTCAGTTGTTTGGACTCTGTTCTCTTGTGATCTGTACAAAACATGGCAAGGTGATCATCTGGTAATTACAGCTATTACATCCAACTCCCAGGTAGGCCGAACCCTTCAGATCATTCAGAAACCCAGGTTTCTTGGTGCAAAGTGTAGGTGATTCAGGTAGAAATGCAAGGAATTCTGGAATCTAATGGGGCGTATCTGAAAACCATATCTTAGTCTTTCTGCATAGCGTTAATGGATGTGAGAACGCTGAATCTGAGCCCTGGATCTGCTTCTCTGTAGCTGCAGCTCCTTGGCTAAACTGAATAACCCTTCTGTGCCTCAGTTTCCTCTCCTGAAAACTGAAGGCGATACTAGTCCCTTGCAGGCTTGTGGTTTGGAAGGTAGAGCACGGGTAGAGTTCAGAGTGGTGTCTGGAGCTTGGTGCCATGTGCGAGCTTCATGACGGTCCTTCCGGTTTGGGAGGCGTGGGGGATGTCCTCGTGTGTCCCCTGACTGGGTCTGGTCTGCCTATCTAGAGCTGTCTAGACTGGTCCCCAGGTCCAGTGGGCTGATAGATTCCTCACTTGGTATGCGAGTGTGCAAGTCCCCCGGGGAAGTGTCTAGTCAAAACACAGGAACTTCCGTCTTGACACCGTCTTCCCACACATGGGAACAGCAGCTCTGCTGATGGCTTTCTTTTCACTAGCTTCCAAAGAAAGGGGGCAAAAGGAGAGGGAGAGGGATGGAGAAGCCTCAGTAATCATGGAGAGACTCCTGCCTCTCACCCTACATCCCTGTTACCCACACTCACTGGTCTCCAGGGGGCAGGCCTGAGACCTGAGGAGCTGGCTCTTGATCTCCCTGTGCATGACACTGGGACCAGACACTGGTCTGGCCCCCCATTTGGTGTTGGGTGAAAGGGCACAAAGAGCTATAATAACTGTAACTCGCTGATTACATGGTACTTACCGTATCATTTTGCTCTCATTAGATGGTTATTTCAGTCCTGCTGTTGGCCAGATAATTATACGGGCAGTTATGTCTGGATGACATGCTCTCTCCCAGCATTTCGTGCTGGCCATAAAGATAATTACAGTGTAATTTTGCCATAGTATTTTATACAAATGGCCAAAACAAGTGCATTGTGGAAATCTACTTTTAATGCTTGTTTGTGAATCCAGGCTCTTTCAGAGGGACTAGGCCCATAATTGCAGCTTTCATAATCTCACCAGTCATGAGCATTCTGAACCTGTTAGGTGCCAGGCAGAAAAGGACACAAAGTCCTGGGGGCTGTTTTCAGTTTTTGGTTTGTTTTCACATCCTGATGACTGCCTCCCCCCATTGGTTTTTGACTTGAAAGGAGATTAGGTGAGATGGATAAACACAGATCACTGCCTCATCTTATTTCATTCATGTGTAAAAGCAAGTGACCCCTGGGCCTGTCCTTCCTCTGGGAGTTTTCTAGGAAGAGGAGGGACTGGTGAGGCAGGGGAGCATTAGCAGTAGGGCACTTTGGACACGGCTGTGTGTGTGTGCCTGGCTCCTGGGGTCCTAGGGTCACATTGTCCTCCCTGCCCCTGGCCATGGGCACACGTGTGTATAGTGTGATGAATACACAAGGGAAGGGGTGAGCCCCATCTGCTAGGAGAGTTCTGTGTGCTAGCTGAAGGGCGGTGGGGAGAGCTAAGGGCTAAGACCCTCAATCTCTCCCTTCCATTAGGTGCCCCCTCCCTTTCTCCCAAGCTCCCTCTGTGGGTGGTCAGTGGGGGTTTTCCAGGACATGAGATGTGATTTGGGGGATTTTCTGGTTCTCAGCACTCTACTTCTGGATCCCTGGACTGCATCATGAAGACACTGTTTCCCTGTCCCCACCCCAGGTGCATGCTCTCTGATTTCCCACTCTTTCCCCCATTCCTTAAACCCTGTTGTGCTGTGACTCCTTCCCCATCTCTTCTACCCCACCCTTGCATAGAAACTGTGTAATGAATATCCCTAATCCCAAAGGACATCACCTATAGATTCCTGTAGAGTGTCTGTAGTATCCTAATTAAAAAATATAATGTCTCTCTCTACTTCTCAATAATAAAGGATTTTTACATGAGTGATATGATGTGTTTGCTTATGTAGGTAGTAGGGTTTTTTCTTTGCTATTCCAGCAACATTATACATAAATACACACATGTGATACACATCATATTTAAATGGGAGAGTCTTTATTTTGTTCCCGTATCTATTTCCTCAATAATAACTTACAAAGTACTTTGTACATTAGTATCATATTTTTAGTTATTAAAAGAATATATAAATGAGGTCGGGCATGGTGGTTCACAGCTGTAATCCTAGCATTCTGGGAGGCTGAGGTGGGAGGGTTGTTTGAGATTAGTTCAAGACCAGCCTGAGCAAGAGCAAGACCTTGTCCTTACTAATAACAGAAAAATTAGCCAGGTGTTGTGGCAGGGGCCTGTAGTCCCAGCTACTTGGGAGGCTGAGGCAGGAGGATCACTTGAACCCAGGAGTTTGGGTTTGCTGTGAGCTAGGCTGATGCCTTGGCACTCTAGCCTGGACGTTAGGATAAGACTCTATCTCAAAAACCCACAAAATATATAAATGAATTTGGAAGACGGTTGATGTTTTCTAACACTCAAAGATTTTCACAGACCAGCTTCAGATAAAGAGAAACATACTCTGAATAGCTTGTCTGCATTACTAGGATGGGACTGGTAGATGTCAGTCTCTGCATTCACCCTACTTTATTAGAGAGGGAGGTGAGGATCAAGTCTGTGCAAAGGCCCAGCCACAGAGGAGGATGAATCTGTGATGCTATACCATTTTTCTGTCCCCAAGAATGAGTTCTGTGACAGATCTTGGGGATGAGATGGTGACCTACACATAGTGTTTACTAGCTTGTCAGCAGGGTTGTGGACAAACAAACAGAACCTGACCCAGCTAGGATCAGGGTTGGATAGGAAAGTTACTGCAGAGGCCAAGAAGGAGGAGCAAGTATCTTCAGCTTTAACTGGTGCTGTTGTAAAGGGAACACACTTATTTCAGACTCCTCTATAATGTGGCTGTTACCATACTCTGCAGCAATTAGCCTGGTGCAGGGGCCTTGGCTATGGCCCTGAATTGCACTAACAGAAGGTTGATATTCAGGCTCAAGTGGCTAAGGCGTGAGCCACATACACCTAAGGTGGCGGGTTCGAATCCAGCCCGGACCCGCCAAACAACAATGATGGCTGCAACCAAAAAA